TTTATTATTTGTGCATCTTATTGGATAATTCTTTTTCATATTTCAGTATTTATAACATTTTTTTTCTAAATTGGGGCAGCAGCACCCCTGTAAATCTACCCTTTGTTTCTAACGCCTGATCAATTTGTCCGGTCTCTTTTAAAAAGCAAACTATTTTTTTTTTGGTTTATAATATTTTGTATAAAGTTAGTTTCATAATTAAATAAAAATATCCATGTTAGAACGTAGGTGTGTTAAAGGTAATCCTGTATCTCAACTTTGCTATAGATCTAGAAATTATTTCCTGTTAGCTTCTACATGGATTTTTTTTTCTTTTCAGGCTCAACAAGAAAACTATGTATCTCGCTTTAATATGCGTTTTGGTTTTCGTTTCATCGGGCTACGGAGCGGATGAAGAAGAAATTCTTGGCAAGGTCAATGCTGGTGTAGAAGCCGGAAATGCGATCGTCCAAGTTTTAGCTGATGAAAATTTGTCAAAGACTTTTGGTAAAATCGGCGAGATCGCATCGAAAATTGGGCCATTCCTGGGTGCCATTGGTCCAGCAATAGCGTTGATTACCATATTCTTGCCACAGTCGCCGTCTCCTGAAATGCAATTAATGAAAAAAAAATTCGAGGAAATGGACCAAAAATTTGACCAAGTGTTTGAGCAATTTGACGAAGTAAAAAATCTTATTCATGAAACATCCCTAAAAGCGCAGTATGGAGAATATGATCACACAATATCGGCTTTGTCTCACCGCTTAGAACAATTTCTAAGCGCTTCAGCTGAGGCTGTAGAAGGACAGAAGGCGACATTTATCACTGCTTACGAGTCGTCTTACGGAAGCGCCACGTACAAACTCTGGAGCGGTATGATGGGGAAAACTGTTCTGTCGGATAACATTATAGAAACAGCCATAAAATATACAGAAAACGACCGCGGACGAGTTCAAAAAATGATGAAAGGAGTTGCGAACTTAATATTACAGGGTGTGAAAATCCATTTATTCTATCTGAAAGCCAAAGGTCGGGATGCCACATATGAAGACGAAAAGAAAACTTGGGAAGACCATATCATTCAGTTAACTAACCATATGCAAGAGGAAGACGAAAA